AAAGATAATGTTCTCGAATCGCAGTTACATAAAAAGAATTTTCAGTTAGATTCAAAGCCCGCTGTGCAAAAAGTAAATCTACGTTTTTACAAATACAAATTTAAATCATAATTCTTTATAATATGACATCTATGATATCAATTCGTACATAATTTTTCTTACTTATTTTTTTTATATTTCTGTCAAGTTCGTCAATTAATAGTGAAATTATCTCACGATAATTTTAATATAATTTACATTAAATTATGCCAAGCATAACAGTTCTCCAAATATCCGAAGGACGTCCCGGATATGTATTACAGAATTATTTGAAATGAATTCCAATCAGAATCTATTCCACATAATTCCATAATACGTGCTCTGAGGGCTTACATCCCAAAGACATTCTCAGACCATCTTAGAGAACTATACTGGGTGAGATTTAACTAATTGTAAATCTGAACCGGGGTAAACATATACTATTTCAACATTATCGACGATCGCTACACCTATAAATTTTCTAATTATCATTGATGGTTTCATCATTTAATTTTCTGCACAATTTTCCAAGTAATTGCCAATTTTTTAAATAGGAATATATTTTTGAAATAGTAGATCATGTGCGATGTTTTTTACTTATGTTAACTTAAAACCTGACGTTTGGAACAAAATATATTTATATCTAATATAAATATCATCTTTATTTAACATCCGGATTGTATTGAACGCACATTATTTGGCAAAATACATGCTGGATTTCATTAAATATAATACATGCAATGTGTTATATTTCTTTAATTCAAACAATTTCATTGCACAGCAGCTGTTAATGTGCACTAATCCAATTGAGATTTATAAATATATATATTAACAAAAATATATCTCGCTTATAGAGCTCAATATATCAATGTTTAGATTTTTAAATTAACTTATATTTCTAAATAATAGCAATAAAATATGAAAGACTATTGTGTATTACGATAACATAATTTTGCAAATCGAAACTTTATAAGAAATGTTTCGAGTAAATGCTTTTATTGTAAATAATCATTCAATTTACTTTATAATACTAACGATGTAACAATTGTTTAAAAAAGAGAAAAACAGATATGTTACAATAGTAAAAGATTTATAAAATTGAAAGCTTAAAACTTTAACAGTACTCAATATAAATATTTCATGATTAATGGATTAAATTAGCTAATGGATTAAAATTTAAGCTAATTGATATATTTATAGAGAAATATCGATTTTCCATTTATCATTGCCAATTTTAGTAGTTTGCAATGTTGAAAAATCTAGTTTTAAAAATATTTTGTTATTTTAAAATCATTAATATTTTCATACTTTTGAATTATATTCGATCACATATAATAGCGTGCCTACACAACTTTTGTGATGAAGATTGTAAATCTGCACACGTATTATCGATTATGATAAATTCTAGCGTATGCTAAAAATAATATAAGTTCAAAATAATTTACGCCAAAATTCGCATTCCTATACAATTTGTGCGGCTTAATATTACAACGTGAAGATAAAAATAGAGGAGAAAGCCGAAGAGTTCCTATCGAGAGAGTTCGAGGATTAATAATCATTCTCTGCTACTTGAAGAAAAGGACGAATGGAGAATTCGTCCTCGCAATCTGGAATGAGCTTTCCCTTGTACTTCACGCAGAAGTCCGCGCACTTCTGTCCCATGAAATACACGCCGAACATCTTTCTGCATTGCGCGCAGTTTCGTATGCAAACACCTGTACAAAGCCAGTTTGTACAGACTAAAGTGATATATATGATATTTCAGCAACGATTTTTATATGGTGACGTAATCGTAACATTTACTTACCAATATTTCGTTCAGCATCAGTAGACACCGTAAAGCAGAGAATGGCGAAAACCATGATAAGCAGTATCATGATTCGGTTTGATAAGCTTGGCATGACTGAAATAAATGTAAGCGTTATCTCTTTAACTGCGAAAGGATTAACAATTGAACATTGAATATACATTCAGCTGCAATTATTAATATATTGGCAATAAAAGCGAGTAAAATCAGTGAATAATCGATTAAAGCTTCTGACATAGAGTTGATCTATGACATTATTGTTTTGTGCCGATTAATATGGAAATAGTAAATCTAATCTGCATGATATATTTCAATTATTGTTAATATTAAAAATCTTTTTAATATTAGTAATATGACATGTCTCACAGCTAAAGAGATAAGCTTCCAAGATTTATTTGATTTAGATGAACAAATTTTTACATCCTAGGAATATCGTTCTATTTTAAATTTTCATTAGATTATGTAAAATCGTTGCTTATATGAATATGAAAACTTATGCAGATATGAAAATATGTCAGTATTACATAGAGTCAATTAATAGAAGAGAAAGTAACAATCTGAATATAAGTGATGTCTTACAACATTTATACGATGGAATATTAAAATTATGTTATGAATAAGACAGCTCTATTTAAGCTGTCTTATATCAGCTAAATATTAATAATCTATTATCTAAATTATCAAAGGATCTTTAATTAATGATTTAGGCCATGCATTACGCTGTGGATTGCGTGTATAATGTTTGCTGTTTCCAGGAGATATGATAAAATAAATATATGTTAAATGCTAACATATTACTTTCTCTTTCTCTCTTTCTTACTAACATTCGACATATTTATCTCTTCTTCTTTGCCTCATAGGGAACAATAAAGTATCTATCTTCATTCTTTTTGGAATGTCGTAATTTAATTAAAGCTTGTAAAGATCAAAGAAAAAATAATTCATCGATCGAGGGACGAAACTTCGGCAAAAGGCGGAAGGACGAGGGTAGAAGTTGGAGAGTTTTCTATCCGTTACTGCCCATTTGCATTTACTTTACTAGGAAAAATATTTCGAAGATACGAAAGTACACAAAGATACGAAAAACATTTTCTTCATCATTCATCCCAGTGAGAAATGACAATGGAATCGACATCGAATCGACGTCGAAATCGTCAAATTGACGTCGATTCGATATCGATTCCATTGTCATTTCTCACTGGGATACGCCGTTTTGCATTTCCAGTTTGCAATTAGTGTTCGCTTGGAAGGAAGGACAGAGAAGGAGATGACCGTAGTCAAACTCGATAAACTTTCAGGGATAACTCGGATGTTAATAATCTCTCTCTCGTTCTTTTTTTTTCTTAATTTAAAAGAATAAAAAATCCATTAAGCACACGTGTTTACATATTATACACGATGCGCGATATGTTTTACTAGAGACCGTGAGGCTCTCGTGAGGCCACGTGTCGGCATGCGAAAATCCTGATGCGACGTTGATCAGGTATTATGGCGCAATTATTCCTTTAATCACACGAAAACAATGTGCAGACGTGCTGTCTGCTGCGATACGTCGTCGTGACGCCACTGAAGGTTCCTCACCAGCTTTTTCTTCATGCCTCGTGCCTCGAGAGAGCAGCGCGTCGTTACTACTTTTTAATATATACGGTCATTTATAACCGGAATCTCTTCATCGCGCTTCCGCGTTTGCCTTAACAGCCACATTGTGAACGCATAAACATAATAAATATGGATGGAAGGTATCTTGGCTTTCCGCGATGTCGTCAGCCTCCCTCTCTTTTGATCTCTCTTTCTCTCTCTCTCTCTTTCCCCCTCTTTCTTACCAGGAAGCACTTGAGGATTCAAGACCAAGGATCGCGTGAATAGCGTTTGATATCGACATTAACGTACACGAACAATAATATGACTGATTAGAGCAACCAATCGACCGACGACGCGATGGATCTCTTTAGCATGTGAAAAATGAATTGATAGATTTTGGCAAAAAGCGTTTTCTTATCACCCGTGCGAAAAAGAAGAGATAAATTTTTAAAAATAAAGGAATATGATTTTCAAATCTTTACCTGATCGATACGGCAGCTTGAGAAGGTGAAGCTGTTGGAATTGTTGCGGATATATAAAACCAACGAATGACGCTGAACGGTCTTCGCCGGTCTTATATATATCCGCAAACGCCGGATTCAACCCTCGCGCTAGGTAAACCCCCGCTGCTTATCTTCCTTTAATTTGATCACTTTAATTTCCTGCACTCAACTGTAATATCTTATGCGTTTCTATGGAAGAAACACGCGTTTATGCGTGTTTCTATGTTACTATTAGCTTTTGCATTTAAAAATACTGTTAAATGTGATATATTTTGTGCTTCTTTACCTATACATTTTTATCTGTAATTCATATAATCCACTATGATTCTAATATAAAATTTTGTGACATATGCTATAGAATGTCTTTAGAGGATATTGTACACGGAGAGAATTTTCTTTTAAAATTTACCCTGAAAATATGGTAGTTGTGGTACAATACAATATTTTAAAGATTTTTACCCTGCACTTCAGTAAAATTAATCAAACTTATTTTATATTTTATTGTAGTTTTATTAATGAATGAGAGAGATTTACATTAAAATTCTTCGAAGTACAATGTTGTCCCACGACTATCATATTTTCAAAGTAAACTCTAAGAAAAAATTCTCTCCGTGTATGTATTATAAACTAATTTTCTTATTTTTTTTATCTTTTTAAATTATTTTTTACATTAATTTTTTTTAATGTTGCTTTATTTCAATAAATACTATATATTTTTACATTTTTTTAGGTATACTTATAATATTATTATATTTTTATATTATTATGTTACTTATTTTTAATTTATTTAAATTAATTAAAACACAAATTGAAAGCATTATTATAGAATGTATTACTTATTTTTCATCTCTAATAATTTCTTTAATAATAATACATTACAATAATATGTAATATTATAACAGTAAAATAGTTATGTAACAATTAATTTAATTATAATAACACCATTATAATTAATTGCTTATTCTATTTAACGAAAAACATGTAATAACAAGAATATAACATGATTTAATGTAATTTATATACAGCCTTGGCAAAAAATATTAGGTATCTTGTTAATTATTATTTAAAGTTTTAGCTTAAAACTTGATGTCTTAAGCTTCTTCTTTTGAATCTTCTGTTTCTTGTTCATTGTCTTTGTTTCTTTTACGAGGCGATTCGTATTTCAAACTCCAAAAGTTATTATATTTGATCGGTATTGCTTCACCTTTTTCAATCATTTTGTTGAGATTTTCATCTAATCTAGAGAAACGATCCTTCTTGTCTAAAATTCTCGACAACGTTTTATGAATATCTTTTCTGTTTCTCGATTCCTCTCTTTGTCTGTCTTCTTCGGCTGTCGAGTTGTCTTGCAATTGATGTATAACATCCTTTGTAAAGTAACGAGATAAGAATTCTTTTTCCGTGTCAACTGTACCAGATGATTCTTTATCGTTGTCTTTTTCGAAAATATTCTTAAAGAAATCTTTGTCGTTGTAAGGATCAGGATTTTCATCAATTTCTTCGCTCTGTTTCTCTTCTTTCTTAACATAAGAGTCAGTGTTTTCTTCTCTACTGTTTGCTTCATCTGTATCGTCGGAAGCAATTCTGTGATTATCATGATGATCTTCGTTCTTTACGAAATAATTTTGCGATTGTTCTTTTGGATCCGTGGCATACGTCTTAATCTCTTCAAATTCCTCAGTACGATCAGAATTTCCCTTATGTTCTTCTGGATCCATAGAATATGTTTCGATTTCTTTAGAGTTCTTGGTACGATCGAGATTTTCCTTATAATTATATTCTGATTCTTTATCACTGTCCTTTCCGAAAATATGCTTAAAAAAATCTTTATCATCATAAGGATAATAATCCTTATTGATTATCTCACTTTCTTTTGCTGTTTTTTTCTCGTGAGAATCAGTTTCCTCTTTTGTCTTGTCTCTATCGTTAAAAATGTCATCATGGAAATCTTCGTTCTTCGTGAAATAATTATGCGATTGTTCTTTTGGATCCGTCTCGACTTCTTCGGACGTCTCGGTGCGATCAGGATTTTCTTTATGATCGTATTTCTTGCTGAAAATAGCTCGTACGCTTTCCAATATAGGATCATTTTTAAAGAACTCGTCCCAATTGATTGGTTTTTTATATTCATCAAAGTCAACGAAATCCGAATTTTCATTTTCCTCTTCTGCGGAACGGTGAATGTCATCGGTAACTTCCTCGGTATCATTGTGTAACTTGGTGTCTTCGACATCGTAATTGTCAACGCATTTGGCAGAATCTTTACTTTCTGTGCAACTTGGACGTGAGTTATTTGCGTTTAATGAGGTTTCCGGCCCGTCACTTTCAGTCTGTACTACTTTAATCTTAGCACTTGGGGATTTTGAAGAGAAATCATCAGTGTCGTAGAGCTGTTTAGGAATATAATCGTAATCGCTATCATCATATTCTTTATATCTCGCTGGAGTTGTGCTCTGATTGTTTTTATCTAAACTCTTCTCCTGTTGATCGGAATAATCTGGTACTTCCACATAGGGTATATTTGAAGGATCATAATTCAAAATCGTGTCAGTCGAATTTTCTGTGCGTTCCACTTGATCCTTTTCTTGCAAGGGTTTCTCGACAGCATTCTCGGTTGGCAAGAATGACGATGTAGTGAAACTCTCTTCAGAAGAATATGACGGACCTGGTTCGGAGATGATTTCCTGCGATGAATTACGCCTTTCATTGGTGTATTCTGTCGAATTATCTAAAGACGAATAATCAACACTTTTAACTTTATCGGAGAATTTATTCAAATCGTCCACTTCAGAAGCGCTGGTTACAAGTGATGATAAAATCGGATTATTATTTAATTTTGCTAGGTCCACAACTGGAATCTTGTTAGGTTGCCATTGGATTTTATTTGCAACGTTCCAAAAGCCCGATATATAAGGATCAGAATCGGATATTTCTGGCAATTTTATATCCGTGATATTGAGTGGTGTTTTTTCGTTCGTCACTTGCGCCTGCCTATCTTCTTTGTAATTGACCGTTTCTTCTTGGATGCATGGAGTTGAAGCCGCGTTACTTTCCGGAATACTCGCATTTCGTTTAGAACGAGTCTTTTTGTTTTTGATCGATTGAGTTGCGTTGATTATATCCCAGATGCGTTTATAAAAATCACGTTCCGGTTTAATATTGGGACTCATTACTTGTGACTTATCTTTCTGTGATTGCGAAGCAGCAACTCCGTCTTTATCAGTGCATGTTGAATTATTTTCTAAAGAATTGTAACCACTGATAATATCGGTATGAGGACGGGTACCGTTAATATATTCCCAAATACGTTTGTAAAATACAGTACTTGGTATCGCTACATCATTCGCTGTTTTAAGATCAGTTGTATTTTTATTTCGTAGCGGTTTTTTCGTTGGAAGAGTTCTTTTTTGTTGTTTTTGATGATTGGGATTTGAATAACGAGATTTTTTATTTGAAACGATAGTTTTTTCCCGTCGAACATCCTGCGAATTATTCCCCAATTTGTAAGACGAACGTTTTGAACGTTTGTTACCAATTATTTTCTGAATACTTTTTGCTGCTTTTAACATTTGCGCACTATTTTGTCGTTTCTGTCGAATGGTTTCGACAACTGTTGTAATCTTGATGATTTCCATATCAGGATCAGATAAATCTACATTTTTATTTTGATTATTCATGAGATGGAATGTCGGTGACATAATTTGTTTATTTAATTTTTCTTGCTGCTGAAGTAATTTCTGAGGCATTTTTAAGCGTTCAGTGTATTTTTTCCACCCAACAAAATACGGATATATCCACCAAGGTTTGCTCGATTTCTTTTTTGAACTGGTTGCTGTATTTTTTCTCATGGATTTTAATTTACGATTGAATTTGTCGATATATACATGCTGTAATGTAGGCTTAATCTCAGATGCAGCTTGCGTAGATTTCACTATGGTGTCCTGAAAATAATCAATTAACAGTCAATTACTATAAATAAACATTATAACATTACATTGAATTGCTAATCAAACGTTATACTTAAAATAATATAATTTTAATAATGTTATAAAAAGCATCATAATAATATAATTATTTTATATACAATAATCGTATTATTGTACAAAATAATAAGCAAAAGTATCATATATCGTTATCAAAAATACATTTAGGCAAACATTTAATAGAAATGTGTACTTACATTTATATTTTGTGAAAACGGTGAGGAATAAATGATTATATTATGGTTCCATGTCTTTAACATTAAATGTGCCCGTGCATTATGTACTACCGTGTAAATTGTGCCATTATACATATTTTACAGGTTATAATGAAACTAATTTCAACAGATCGTTAAATGTGCAATACTTTTGTTATGAGCTTCTCTACCAACTCACATATAATTTCTGCTCAGCAGATTAAAAGTAATATACAAATAAATAAAGGCTTATTAAATGACATTCTTATTAAATTGACTTTATTTGTAATTATATACAAAAAGTACAATATAAATGGTAACTGTGTCATCACAGTAGCGCAGAAAATATATGTTTTGATTGTAAATTTATTTAACAGATAAGGAGCAAAAATATCAACTCCATACAAATTTCTGAGCCACTGCGTATGAATATTTACATTTTGCTTATTACAATAATAATGCTTGAAGCAATAATCAATCATCGTACAAAAATATATCATATTTATTATCATTAATATTTGTTTGTAATCTCACTGTTGTGGAATTGTCAGTACTCTCTTGACTAATAAATATTAGATTTTATTTCACTTTGATTAAGTAAACGTATATGTGCTCTCATACTTAATAACATTGCATTAACGCGTTCAAAAAGAAAACTGTCATTCTTAAGAGACTTTCATACGCAGTACATAAATTACATACGTTAAAGTTACTACTACTAAGTGTAGTCTGCAATAATAGAAAAATAACGTTTGACCATCAATATAAACTCAGTTTTCTGATAGAAATCTAATACTGGTAAATTTAATACTGGCCAATTATTACTGAAAGACAGTAATTAATTATTTATTTGGAATAAATAATTTATTTGGAAGAATAAAAGCACTGAACAACAGTTTCAATACTTAAAATAAGTAATTAATTACTTGCTTTCAATATTAAGTTGGTTAGTATTACATTTCTGTAAGGTCTGTTCTGTAAGGTATTGTTGCTGCGATAGATATTCCGCGAAACGTTACTTCAATTTTCATATTACATTTTATAAAAGAGTATTCTGTATTGTAAACGAGTACTCTATATAATAATCATTTTATTGTAGATATAGAGATATCTAAATTATTATTATCAAACTCACTCAAGCATTAAGAAAGACTCGTATAAAACATGGACGCACGTATATCATTTTACATCTCGCTGTACAAGTAGATGTTGATCGACTCATATCCACGTTCGTGATGTACCTTAGACAGTGCCTCAAAGCACAGCATGACGCATGGCGGCAGATTCTTTACGATCAGGCGCCTTTGTCCCTTGCGGTGCACTCGCTTACTTTCTCGTGAAGCCCAGATATGAAGCAATGCCGTTAATATTCTCAAAGAAGATTCGATAAGCTTGCTGGCTGTCGTAGTGCACCGGACGCTCCTCCACCCATCGCTATAGTACAATAGGTAATTGTAGGTACTGATGTGGTGCATGGCAGTCGGCGGGGAAATGTGGAGTTAGAACGATATTGTACGATCACGCAACAAACGCAATCATCTGATTCTGAGTGTATGTCCGAGCACACGATACTTTACCTGTAATTGGTACTAGGTACTGTGGGGTGAATGTAGACTAGGAATGCAAAATGATGTAAAAGAGAAAGGGATATAAACAAAATTGAATTTCAAATATCGTTTAATTCCATATTAAAATTGTGTTGTAATCTAACATAGAAAAGGAACATTTGAAAGCATTGAAAGTTAAAATTATAAAGAAAAATCCTGAATGCTTCCACGCCTACATCATAATTTGCATTTCTATGTAAATGATGTCTGATTGTGAGTATAATATTAAGTTTATTTTTGGGTGATTTCATAGGTAAATCACATGAAAGAATACGCGAAATATATAAAACAGGACGATAATAAAAATTTTATTATTTGAAGTGTTATATTTAAAAAGATGGCACTTACATAATTTTGTGTATAGCGAACAGTATTCTGGATAAGAAGGATTATAGAAATTCCAACTTACAGATCGAAATACACCATTTGCAACTGTAATCGAGTACATAGTCAAATGATCGCGCTTCGCATTAAATAGATAGAGAAAATTTTTATGTTCAACAATATATTTTTAATATACTTTAAAGGGCACGGAATATGAAGATCATCTTTTTTTGATATGTTTCGATCGAGAAATAAAGAGATATTCCAAAGAAAATATATATATTGAAAAGACTAGATATTAAGCATTGCTAAGTGTTATAGCTGTTATAGAAGTCCGCGATGCTGAAAGATGACGATAGACGATTACATGCAAGGAATGATTCGATTTGATTGAAATTTACTATGTATAAAGAGTATATTATAATTGTAGTATTGTAATGTTTGATCAAAAGTAATGTGTTAACAAAAAATAAAATAGCGGTGGAAGTTATTTTAAATGTATTATGAAAAAATCGTTGCTATATTAATGAAAGTTTAAATAATAAAATACTAAATGCAATGTAAATGATACGTGACTTAAGGTAACATATGGTATACAAACTACGACAAAATTTTATAATAAACATTTAGATATTTGTGAATGAAATTTTGAAGTGCAGTTTGAAGACTTTATCAATATTAATGGTATTATACGTATATTTGTTAAGTAATGTTAAAATAAAATAAAATAAAATTTTGAAGCTCATACGTGAGAGAAAATACAATTACAAATCTGTGCAATTTTAAGACTGGAGCACAAACCTTTACATAACGCTTAGTACATAAAGCATAAGAGAATTAATCAATCAGAATCCTTTATTCCATGGCTGGAAAGACTCTGATTGATCTTTTATGCTTTATGTTTTATGTATTATGTAAATGTTTGTACTCATACGCAGCATTTAAGCTGTAATGTTACACAGTCACAAATAACTTTCATACAAACAAAAGAAGATCAACGTCAAAATTGAAACATGACACATAGGATGCGTTCCGTTTCACGCATGATGCGCATGATGTATTACTCGTATTTTATCTTTCTTTAATATTCGGTGAACAACAAGGATAAACTGATATATCATGCGTACTACGCGTGAAACGGAACTATAAATAATTTCTATATTTCGAATAGTGAGTATATTACGTGTGAAATTCTTGTTGTCTTTTGTATGAAAGTGAAGTATAACGCACGATGCATTTTTACTAAAAAAAGAAATTATATGTACATTTTGTTGATAAGGGTTACTGTAGAAGCTAAAGGTGTCCCGTAATTTTGCCAAGGATCCAGAGATCGATATCACGTTATTTTCAACTAATCTATCGGTATCCAAATTGAAATTTACTATCGTGATATGATCACATCAACATATTTATGAGTTATTAAAAGAAGTTTGAGATTATAATTCATGAATCAATATTATGAACCACTTTAAACAGCGATTCAAGTATGATCGACTGGCCAACTCTGTACTTTATCGCACTATGTGATATAATCAATTTATTCTACTTAAGCATGACTTATCGCGTCTGATTGTTTGCTCTACTTCAACACATGCGTGCCTACGGGATGGTCTTGTGTTATAGTGCCTAAGGGTTGGGCTTCTTGACTCGTGGCTCGGTTGTTACGTGGTGGTGTTCGCCTAAGGGCACTCTGTTTATATCTAGATTGGTGAAATAGATCCTCCTTTATTTCCCCAACTGCCCGTATGGGTCTGCTAGATTACTCACGTATTGCTCGGCGTGACTCGTCGCCGGGAATTCAGCCCATTTTGACAAGTCGATGCCGGGTATAATACCACTACGACATGGGACTCGAGGATTTCTATTATGAAATTAAGGACAGTATATATTATATATTTTAGTCATTTAAAAAAATTTCTCTAAAAATCTTTTAAGATCAAATAAAAATTGAAGCAAAGAGAGTAGAAACAAAATTAGTTATACAGTCAATACAATGGATACAATAAATGTAATGAATGAATTAGATACAGAATATACTAATATTATTAATAATAATAGTAAATATTTGTATAGACTCCATTTCTTTACAGTAAATGGAATATAAAATTATGATGTCATGTTTTTATTTTATTGAATAAAATTTTTTAATATTTTATTCAATAAATTATTATTTATTGTTACAAATCAACTTACATTTCGTGATCAGGAAGGACCATCGGATAGATTTGTACCGTATCGATAAGATCAGTATTGTCACAAATCAATCTGGCGAGTTTCGCTTTTCGAATTTCGTTCAGTTGTTCTAGGAAAATAAAAGTGAAAACCCAATTTTAGAAAGTACTGTACTTCGTTACATATCGACTGAATGTCCTTGGCTCACACGACTCCCACCGGGAAGAGAATTCGAAAGGGTCTTACCGAGAGTGAAGGACGATGGCTGGTTCGGCAACTCGTACCAGAATCTGTCGCCACGACGCGAATGACTGAATTGTGTGGCAATTAGGCAAGCGAAGGTTGGCCCGAGCATGCTACCCGGAAGCGGTCTTTCGGATACGCCGCCCGACCATAAATCGACGTCCGCAGGATGTCTGAAAAGGAGCGTGGTTGAGATGAAGCCGTTATTTCCGAATACGCTATTTTTAGCATCGATCGGTCCGCTGACTGAATAATGAGATGTAAAACTTGATCGATCGATCTTTCGATACTCCGAAGGTTTCGCTACTGGATTTTACAGACATGTAATACTCACTCAAAAATAGTGCTATATCGCCTGACAGTTTCGTTTGGCATGGAACCGAACAATTCATCGAAAGTATTGGCATCAGGAAGGCCGCAGTATTTTCTAAAATTATGAAATCACAAAATTATATACATATAGTTGCGTTAATAAAAAAGCCATACAATTAAAAATTAGCAACTTTTCAGTAGAGCATTTAAAAAATTCTTTCTGAATTGGAACGTTTTAATTAGGTTCGTGAATAATGCATAATTTCTTTTTCTTTCCATTGTTATACTAATTTTCTATTATAATGTGTCTTTAAAACCGTCATGTGTTTTCAAAATTTAAATACTACAATTCCTAGTATAGGGTTTTGTAAATTTTTTTCTTTGTCAAAGTTGCAACACTTTTTCATATAAGCAATATATTGATAAATATATTGTTTTTCATAATGTAATGTAATCTGTAGATTCGATTTTCTTTATCTCAAAAATGCTAATTTTTTACTTGTACCACTTTTCTATTAACGTTGTGACATATTACTGAAAGTTTATTTTTGGTAATGAATTGGTAATGAACTCTCTGACTTGTAACAGAAAATTAGTTATCTCGATGACTTTTCCGTGATTTTATCATCATTCAACTTTACTTCTATTCAGTATTCCGTTATTTAATTGGTACGCTTGGCGTACACTGACTATACAGAAGATTATTGTTGTGATATATAGATACCGCTCTTAACTACAGTTAGTCAAACAAGTTTATTAATACAAGTATGATAATAATTAACAATAACTCACCTAAACTCCATATAACTTGGAATACCAAACTCGCGGCCGCGTTGCATGTTAAAGGATACCAAATCCAATCCGAATTTTGCTCCAACTTTTTTGAAGAGATGATTTGTCACCTGTAAAGAATAAACCGTATAGTACGGCATAATTGCATAATTTGTTTATGTTAATCATTGTTTTACTTCTTGCGTTATAGAATCATCCATAGCTTGAGCGACCTGGTTCATCAAGCCCATCAAATATTCGTCGAATACACCAGCCCGATACAAATCGTAAGGGCGTCTTATCAAATCTGAGAGTCTCTTTGAAGCTACAAAGATAAACATAGATAATTTGAAATCCGATTTGAAGGAAAGAAAAATTAATGAAAAATTGATCTTACGCACGCACGCACGCACGCACGCACGCACGCACCGAAGAGCAAGTTTTAAAACAAATTTCAGAATTTATTTAAAGTAATTAATTAAGTAAGAAATTTTATTATTTATACATATTACGAATTTAAAACTTATCTATTTTAAAGAAGAGAAACTTCTATTTAGCTTATAAGATTAAAAAGAAAAAGATTTTGGAAAAGAAAAATTATTAAAGAATATATAATCAAGAAAAACGATTTTTAATATCTGACTTGTTGATGCAATATAATCTTGTTGTGCAATTAGTATATATTGTCGTCTTACCAATAAATTTATGAGCTTTACTCCATCGTTCTACAGCCGTGGGCAATAGCGAGTGACCGAATCTAAAGGCAGCAGCAGCGAAAGCGTCTATTACGCTTGGATTTATGCTCGGATCGTATCCATCCCAGTATTTCTATGGAAAATTGATATCTTAATATCGCGATTATTATTATTATTACTGTCAAAAGTTGTTCAACGAACAGCAAAAAAAATAAACAGAAAATGTATATCGTTAAATCTTAATTATTATAATAACGTACATACATATATATATATACATAGTTATTAAAAAATTTTTTTGCACTTAAAAAATGAATTACTTTATTAACAATATTAATTAACGATGTTTATTAACGATGTTTTGAATTTATCTTTTTTTATAACAAATTGTATTTATGTAATTTATGCATAAATATTCATAAATTTTGTTTCAATTTGTTTCAGTGTCGTCAGTTTAACTTACTTCCTTCTCGAGGAGAAGTCCGAATTTCTCCATGACATCTTTGCCGAGTAATATGGGGAGGAACTCGTTATAAGTGACGTGTTGGATTTCCGCGATGACGATGCGCCTAGCTTCCTGAAAGAGAATCTCATCGTCCCAGTGCGGATTTATGACGGCCAATGCTTTAGCAATCCGGTTATGCTCTCGCGCCATTAAAGTGTGCATGCAGGTAAGTACCAACTGTTCGTTTACACGAATCTCGCCTATAAGTAACAGAATTGATACAATATATTTCCGAGATTCTAAAAGGATGATTAATTTTCAAAATTGAGAATGGCAGATGCGATGCTTTCATAAAAAGAATCGAATAATTCTATAGTTCCCAAGATGCTTTATAATCAAGCTTAAGAGATTTATTAAAGTACATAGACTTAATACATGATAATTCATTGAATCATGTAACGTAAAATGTAAAGACTACAATGCATCAATATAAGCCAGATAAAGACTTTTATTGTTAAATAACCAGAACACAAAAAAGTAATCTTTGTAATGTATCCCGATGTTCAAAGTATTAGATATACATAAGGAATTCAATTGGAAGGTATTGGAAGTTTATAAAGAATGTAATCGCTTTATCGCACGAATATCTACATTTGTAGACTTATATTGGCCTCGATTTGATTTGTTATAGTTTTCTTAAGTCCTTTTGCATAATGCATTATAACAATCCATTTCATACATATAAAGAACATATAAATTATAATTTTCATTAGATGTATAGCGTAATTTAATAATTTATTAGCTATTATTCCAAGTAACTTTAATTAATTTAAATGATATTTAAATGAAGATAACACACTGAATATGATAAAATTTCCAAAAGTATAATGCCTTTGCCATCGAAGCGCATCATCGAGTTCTTGTATTAATAACAATAGAAACAAGGAACGTTTATCTCTCTTTATCTTATTTATTTCGTATGAGTGATTAACATAATTTAATTTAATGAGTCAGAGTAACGACTCGAAATTAAATCGAGGTGAAAAATTGTTATCTTATTGGTTACATAAAAAATTGTTATCTTGTTATTACATAAACCTTTGTCTAGACGAGTAGAAAATAATAATTATTGCAGCACGTGCGATTTTTTTCTAATATTTCTATGACTTAATAAAAGTTAACGTCCTTGCGTCGCAGCCATTCTCTTTCTCACCCGTATTGTATCGATTGGTGTGCTGATAGTCATGTGATACGGTATGCTTACCTCGGTAATAACAAAAACGAGCATTAAGTTGATTATCATACCATCCGAAATTTTGAAAAACTTAAGTAATGACAGTAGATCTCGGGCAGCAATTGATTTTTCCGTAACATGCGATTAACATAAGTACAGGGTATGGGTGATGTTGCTGCTGAATGCTCTCACGATTGACGTGTGGGAGATTTACGATTCAGCACGCCGTAGCTCCGGGTCCAGGTATTCCACATGATTTATGGAATCGGTGTGCGCGATAAGTGCATACAATTATCGCCGCGATCGAATTGTTTTGTCTCATGAAATCGCCGACCAGATTCACTGTGCATATCACTGGAAGGTTTTGCGAATAATCGACGAATTGACGTGAGAAAGTGACTCCCGGGCGAGTATATGAAACGTAGGTGCTAGGCAAAATCGATCGGGGCAGTCGATCATGGCCATCTCGAGAGAGAGAGCGATAGACACTTAGTAAATGGCGCCATGAGAAGGCAGTAACGAGCGTGACTTACCGCTCCATTGTTCTTATACTATAAAACGCACAAAAATCATCAGAAATTAGAATAGTTACATTAGTGCGGTTACATTCGACTTAGGCTGATTCGTGTATCGCACGCTCATTGTAAATTCAAATAGATATAATCGTGTTAATAGTCCGCGCCTTGCATTGCATTTTGAAGCTATGTTTACCACTTTACGAAAGTCAGTCTCTTTTAGAGCGAAGCGATTGATTCGTCACGACTGCAATCCATAATATATTATATACATGCAAGGATATAACTATGCAACAATGCGTGATATGTAAAAAATACTGGAAAATACCATAGAATATTACAAAGAATATTTTAAACCGACTAAATATTTCGTTTGCCATACATTTTAACAATTTTGGACTTTTGGAGCAAACACGATGAGATAAATAATTTTTACAATGAACATTTTAACGATTAAATTATAAATAAATTTTGATAAAATTTAAAATATTAAGTTTCTATTATCGATTACTCTGATTTTTTACGTTTGACGTTTCGAACGTCTAATTTTCAAATATTTTAATATTTATATTAAATGAATCTGTAGCATTATTTAAGCTGCGATGTTAAAATAGCATCTTTTTTTTAAAGTTAATCTAAATATTTAAATTAATTATAAATATAAAGAAAAATATTTATAAGTATAAATTACCAGCTTCGAAACAATACATCGATCGGTTCGGCCGAGTACATCCTTCATCCGGTATATCCAACTTTAGTGGTAATAGATCTTTAAGACCATACTCTGCAAAGACTGGATTCATTCGTAGTAATCCACCATAGCCTGTTCGAAGTTTTCTAAAAAGCAAAATAAGAAGATATGTAGGAATCAGGGATCGGCATTAATGATTTTTTCAGTAATATTTTTTACTTTAATTACTGATTACATGATTAATCAAGTAATCGGAATAAAAATTTTTTATTATTTGATAAATCGAGCAATCAAAATAAAATGTTTCAATTACTTGATTAATTAAAATAAATATATCTCGTATTATCATAATACTTAAAATCGCAAGTAATAAAAAATTATTTTGTCATGATTACTTGATTAATAAATAGTAAATGTAAAATATTACTTACAAACGAAAATTTCGAAAAAAGAGTGCTTTGTAAAGCCAATAACATTAACAAATAAAAATAACTTGTATTTTACACTTTCATTGTTATTTATTAATTTCATTTCATTCCTACACTTCCTCATTTTCCTATAATATAATAATAATCTTACTACATTAATTGTAATATACTTTAATTTTTAATTACTTTAATTACACTCTTAATTTTTATTTATGATAGTTTTGTTGAAAACAGATTAATATTTTACATTAACTATTTATTAATCAAGTAATCATGACAAAATAATTTTTTATTACTTGCGATTTTAAGTATGATAATACGAGATATATTTATTTTAATTAATCAATTAATCAAGTAATTGAATTTTATTTTGATTGTTCGATTTATCAAATAATAAAAATTTTTTATCCCGATTACTTGATTAATCAAATAATAAAATTTTTTTATTCTGATTACTTGATTAATCAGGTAATTAAAAAATTTTTATTCCGATTACTTGATTAATCAAATAATAAAAATTTTTTATTCTGATTATTTGATTAATCAGGTAATTAAAAAATTTTTATTCCGATTACTTGATTAATCATGTAATCAGTCATCATTAATTTAATATTAATCTTTTGCCGATCCCTGGTAGGAATCTTAAAAGCTATGTGCAAACGATAATAGATATTAATATAATTAACCTGTTATTATCTCTTACTGTTCCTTTAATACTTCTACATCGTATTTCTATATCATATGATTAGATATATTTCTATATCACATACGATTAGACGACTTGACGACTTGAGATTTTATGAAAATCAGTTTGATAGTCTAATATTTTCAAATTATTTGAAATATTAAGTATATATGAGTACTTTTTAGAGAAATTAGAGAAATATATATGTGTTATTTACAGACGTAAAAGATATATGTAGCAATCTATGATGGAATCACGAGGGAATGTGAAGTCCACAAGGATTGAGCAATCGCGAGATTTGTAGATCGCATCACGCGAACATGGTAGAAAGTGAGAAGAACACGAGAGCACGTGCTCGTATGTTGGAAAATGCAGAACAACGTAATGCTGATTTATTGTTCTCGATGACGTAACAGCGGCTCACATATATACCGTTTTGAGGCGGAACGAAATTCGTTTCGCCAAATGTACGTGTAGAGATCCATAAAAGGCGAAAACCGACTTATATACTCATCCCTGGAGAATAACCGGTGACTGATTAATACAATTCCTCTCTTATGCTGTATTATTTTACACCGTGATAAACTATAAATAGGTGCAATAGATTAATTTTTCTCGTATGTTTTAACGCGTTTATATATGAGGTGTTCTATTATTTCCTTTTTAAACACATTTTAATTTTAAAAAATTAGCGAATATGTTTATATCTACTGTATTCAGACAAAATTGACTTTAAATTCAGTCTCATTTGAATCGATAATGCGATAAATCATTACAAAAGCATTTGAGAATAATTATTATACTATTATACAGGTTGAAAACAATTTATTGTGGTTTACCTAGCAAAAGCTTCCGTGATGCCATAAACTGTATTACCATCCAGTACACCCGTAAGAAGATTGAAAGGTACTCGGGAACCGAGGCGGCAACCAGGTCGGACTGCAGGAAAAGCGCGAACGAAGTCCATGCATTGCACGTTGAACAGTCTGTAGAAATAGTCGTCCTCTGGTATGAGGATCTCGTTGCAATAGGGATTCTTTTGGTGTGGCAGCCGACCACAGCACTCTTCCGGGTCGTTTCGGTTCAGAGAGTCTGCAAACACGATGATAGCAGAACAGATATGTAATGATAGCAGAAAGCGATAGCATTTCGATCACGCACGCGTAATCCATAGTTCGCGAGTGGTAGACGTGTTGGAGAATATCAGCATTCGCGATTAAATGAAACATTATGAATGTCGGCTGCTTTTCCCGGTTGTCGCAATCTCGTATTGGACGAGGTATAATAGAATCGACATTGTCTATTAATTATCTTTTCATACAAGAATATGCATACGTGTCTAGAATTGTCTACAGCTACATATAACTGAATTGTACATTCTAAATTATTCTTTCTTCCGATAATTGACATGGAATATCTCAGAGTTATTTTAGAGTGGCGCGATTTCAAGTCTGCCAATGGGCTTGCCAATTTTGACTGACACATCATCGAATGATCTCGAGCCGAAGAACGCCCGCTCGGGAACGTCGTACACGTGATCGGTTTATCCGAGCAAAGATCGTTCGCTTTCTCTCGTAATTACTCTCCTTTCGATAAATATGGCAAATGTTGGAAGGGCCTATAAGCGACCTACGGTTTTACATATATCAAATATCTTGGTACAGTTGCTTAGACGCAGGGTTGGGTAAGTTAATATTTTTTTTTAACTGAACAAAGTTAAAGTTAATGGTTTTACAAAATTAATAAAGTTAAGTTAAAAGTTGAAGGAATAAAAAATTAACTTATCGAAAGTTAAGTTAATATTGAATTAACTTAACTTTTAAGTTAAAAAAAAGTTAGTTTCGAAAAAAATTATTTTTGAGGTCAAAATGTCCTAATTTTTCTTAAAATGAGATTACATAACAACTACAATATAAATTATTAAGTAAATTAAATTTTCAATTTTTTTATTCATATATGATATAACTTTTTAGGTTTTTACTTTTTAATAAGCCTTGAGCCATAAAAAATGGACCAATTACAGTCAAATATTCTCCTCGCATTCAACTGTAATTGGTCAATTTCTTATGACATAAGGCTTAAAACATCTATTGCAGATCCAGACTAAGGCTTATGGCATAAGGCATAAGCCAATCAGAGGGCTATATTAACACACACATCTTAAGAAATTACTTAAGATGGTCTTAAAATATAAACGGATTACGAATATACGCCCTTAGTCTTATTATATTTGATTATTTTTCTAAGGCATTTAAGAGATAAAAAAAATTTTAACTTAAAAATAGTTAAAAAGTTAAGTTTAAAAGTAACTTAGTTAAGTTAAAATTTAATGTATTTAAAATTAACTAAGTTAAGTTAAAAGTTATTAACTTTTTAACTTTTTTTTTAACTTTTAACGTTTTAACTAGTTACTATCCAACACTGCTTAGACGCAATCAGTCCGCTGACGATTGAGAGGCTCGCTTTCTATTCTACTTGCATGATTGAATCAGCTGGTTTTGATCATTACGACATACGGCCAACAGAAAAATCATTCATAGTTTTTTTATTGTTGCTTTCTCTAAAATTTATTACATATATATCACAGATGGCTATCAGAATCGTACATTGCAGTGATCTTCACTTGTTTAATATCATTTATTTAAGATTTTAATAATTTATTTCTCTTTTTATTATTAATTTAGACAAGATGGTTTTTATTGAACAAAAGAACTTAAAATTTTGTCGTAATAAATTAGTATTTAAAATATTTATAATTATTATAATTATTTATTTATTATCTCGAAGAATTATACGTAATTTCACATTTTCCTGTTGTTGGTGCATGAAATAAATAACTTTTTTATTCAGTTTTTTTAATTTATACGTATTTTACGTGAATATCTTTTAAAGTATAGCAATACAATTACATAAGTATTTAATAATACTTTTGAAGCTGTCATGGGTACTTTTTATACAGAAATTATGTACATTTCGTGGATTATCTCCGTATCCAGATACATTATTAGAATGCTAATATTGCATGAATATTGCAGTTCACTTCATCAGGGCGAGAAGCACCTTACTGTGTATCGGGCTGGTTCTCGTCCTAAAGTAAACTACAATATTCATGCAACATTGGCATTCTAATAATAGATTTGGACACGGAGATAACTCGCATAGCTTCTATATACATAAGTAGGATTCATTCATTTGTGATTATATAAGTATATTTTTCTAATTAATGATATTAATGGAAAAATCTTAATTATTATTTATCAAGATGAACTGATCGCTTTGCGGACGATCAAATCGCTGTCACGGAAAAATTTATCATGAATGTCGTGTAGAAAATCACACTTTCGAATGTAATATACCTAAAGGCGTGGCAGTCAAAGTGTAATCGTGGTCCATGAATTGTCCCCACGCAATCACCATAACTGTGCCGGCGTGATCATGATAACCTTCGTCTGGGTGCATGGTGCGTGATACAACTCGGGACAATGGTAGATTACGACCCGTTATGGATATCCTTGGCGCCGATAGGCCGTCTGCGAATTGAGGGCTCATCAATCTGCAAAAGATAAAAGAGAAATATTCGCGTCGTGCCGAAAAAGAAACGTCTACGAGAAATGAGAGAAGATTACGGTTACCTCGCGAAAGGCGACAGAGTGGCTCCCCAAGTTGGATTCTCTAAATTCGTACAGAGACCATCAAACCGTCGGTACTTGCCCGGTCTGCATTCTATGTTGCTAAGAAAAGCGGGACAAACCTCACGGATCAGCGTCTTCGAAGTGTCGATCAATGGTAGACTCCTTTGAATTTCCTCGTAAGTCAATCCGTACCTGGGTGTCGATGATTAGAAAGTAAAATCAAGGAAACACGATCGGATCCCAAGGCGGGAAAGTTCGTTGGAAGAGAAAGAGAAAGATTACATAGGCTTCAACGGGGAAGACTTACGTTTGCGCGAGATTCGTAGTAATGTCGAGAAGCAGCTCGCCGACCGTCGCCAGATCCTCTGGTCGCCACATCTCCGACTTTGGTCTCGCGACGTCTACGGACGATTATGTGTGAGCGACAGTACGAGAAAGCCGCATGAAACCAAGTAAAAAATAGCAAATACGCGTGCGTGTGGCGATCATTTGTTATGGGTTCATACGACCGAGATTACACATTATTACGCGATGACACGCCGATATTGATCATTGTTGGCAATAAATTATATGAACGTCGTGCAATTAATTCTTGTAATGAAATTTAATATACTCACTGATGCGCTTCCTTGCCTCGACGTAAGCATGATTTACGGCGTCGAACGTGATACAGGTTTGAGTTCCTCCTGCGGTAGGGCTACGGATAACGAAAGAATAAAGATGAAAGTTGACACGCTCGATCTTTGAGTGCGGATATTATTTACAGACTCCTCTCTCTTCTTTCCCTTCCTTCTGCATCTCACCGGGTTAATTACCCAACGTTGCAGCCTACTTTCATGAGAAGCCGACTCGCGAGAACCTTGCGCGTGAATTCGTTCGTGCAGATCACGTGTACACACGCAGAGTGTCTGTATGTGCGGATATTCCGTATCAAGGTAATCCGAAACTATCCTAGACATGCTCTCTTATGAATGTGAGTGAATTTACTTTCATATCCTGTTTCCGTCATGAAATATACTGGCATTGAGACGTGCCGCTCTTCGGCTGCGCCGACGAAGGTTGACCCAGCAATTCTCTATGTCGTTTCTCTACGTCGACATTGCGCTCTTATCTTCCGCCTTTGATTCTTTAACTATACCTATTCTCATCTCAATCGCCTAATATATATTCCAACTATATATATATATATATAATACCTTTATTACTTTTTTATCCGTTCCTTTATACATTTTTCTCATTAATTGCTTATTCTTTGAAACTAACATAAATTTTGTCTTAAAATTTTATACATCTTGATGAGATATGGATATAAATTCTGACGTTAAATTAGAATCAAACGATTACAAATTGAATATATTATTTCAGTATTTTAGTATCTGTTTTCATGGCATCAATATAGATTAACTTTAATTTCGATTCAACTTACTGTTCATCTTTTTCCAATCTTAAAAATTAGAAAAAGATGAAAAGTAAGTTGAACCGAGATTAAAGTTAATCTACAGGATGGAAATGGGCATTAAAATTTAGAAATAATATATTTATTTTGCAATCGTGTGATTTTTAAACTTAATTTCCAAATTTACATTGATGTGAAAACAGAGATAAATATATCATATGTATATTATCTTTTTTTATCTATTTTTATATAACACTAATCTCAGTATATTTCTAAAATTTGGTTTATAATTAAACTTTACATTAACATTCATCTAATATAGTGTTTAACATAACAGGATCTCAACTTACTTAAAGATACTGACTCGTAAAACTATTAGAGTTTACTCGAGCGGCCGGTTTCTAAATACTGATCCAAGTAGTATAAATCACTAATTCAAGTACTTGTGCAAAATCGGAAAGATGCGAGAAAGGATTTCCCGCGTCTAATTGCGGTCGAGTGCTTCGACCGTATGCCGTAATCAACATGATAATAACGAAAGCACTTTATAATGGTGTCGTGCATCGACGCACTTACCATAACTGGTCTGAGCGACGGCTACAGTCCCATTCCCCGCTGCCCGGTGATAAATGTGGATTGCGCTAACCAGAGAACCTTTTTTTCTGATACATATAAATTATATTTCAGCTCACGGCATTCGTACTTTAATACGCCATTTAATAATCACGTTGTCGCGGTCGTGGCACGCAAAGTATTCATGGTGTTCGAAAATAGCCTGCCCCTTTATCGCTCCGATCGTTACGTGTGTCTTTGTTTCGGTGGATATCGATAATTGGAGAAATAATATCCTCACACGTCTTATCGTATCCGTTCCTGCTTTCTCATGAGCGATCCTTTTTGGACATTGTCAATAATCACTTTTGCAACCGTCAGCACGCGCTATTTCGACCTCCAGATCGACCGTGTCCAGATTGTTTCACGGTGCAATTACGAACCAACGTCTCGTTATGTAGTATCCTCGGGCACCTGCTTGACATTCCATGAGTATTGCCTTTATCTTAAAGTAACTACGTGACATCGCTAACCGGACGGCGTTACGACGCCACGCCGGCTACTTAAACGGTCACAGATCAGACTTGTTTGACTATGTTTACTCCTGATTACTGGATGACTGACTATTATGCTCACTAACAAGGAAAGGGACGCAATTGTCCCCCTCCGATTTTAATGAGCTTTTAATATGTTATTCTCCAGACAAAAATAAGCGACACGTATTTTTTTATACGTGCCCATACGCACTTTTAGGGGGTGAAACACCCTTTAGAAGAAAATCGGTTTTTCTTTTTCGAAACGAATATCGCCAGAACTGTAAGAGATAGAAAAAAATTTTCATAATGAAAATTGAATGGCTTCAAGAGTACTTTAAAACTATAAAAAAAAATTTTTTTTAATTATTTCTAACAATTATTTATTTATAAAGAAAAAATTTTGTTTTCTTTATAATTATATTTCTAAAGTACTCTTAATGCCATTCAATTTTCATCATGAAAATTGAAAAAATTTTTTTCTATCTTTTACAGTTTTTGTGATATTCGCTTCAAAAGAGAAAAACCGATTTTCTTCTAGATTTTCTAAAGGGTATTTCACCCCCTAAATGTGGACACATATAAAAAAATACGTGTCGTTTATTTTTGTCTGGAGAATAACATATTAAAAGCTCATTAAAATCGGAGGGGGACAGTTGCATCCCTTTCCTTGTAAGTATAAACGATCTATATTTGTGTCAAAATTTAAAATTTAATTTTATGTATTATATAATTTTGTGTATCGTGCAATACGAAAAACATTTGAAAAATCAGAGAATATGTCAAAATACACAATCATATATAGAACAAATATGAATAAAGTAAAATTTAATAAAATATAAATAGAATCGTATTCCGAAATCCGATACAAATTATGAATCGTTTAAAGTGGGTTTTATTTTACGATAAATTATGTGAATGTTGTTATACGCGTTGTCTGAGATTTTTATTAAATTTTTATGACGATATGCAAAAATTGCATATTTCCTTTTTATTAGTAATCGTATAATGTATTATTTTAAAGATTTTTATTGATTAAAATTATAATTATTAATTATTTATATATTTTTATAATCTCTATAAGACTAAAAAAACACAAATAATAATTAAAACTTTAATTTTGATTTTAATTCTTCCATTAACTATTTAAAAAAGAAAATTCTTAATAAAGAAATGTTTAATGCTTTTAAAATAAACTGTATTTACGCGAACTATAAATACAAAGATGCAAGAGTTTATACGTTTACTTACACATGAAATTGTGAGTCATGATCAATGTTGTCATGAATGACCAGCTGTTTATTAAGAAAACAATGTTTACTAAGAGGTGTATAAAATTCTTTTAAAGTGTTTTTTTTAAACCGTACAATATTGTATTTTTAATAACGCTATTATGACGAGAATTAAGTTTATAACAGCGCAATTATGGTTCTTAATGACGCACGTCACTGTGTTGTTGAAGCAATCGTAATTGACCGTGTGGAATTAAGGACGGTGATAATATACTTGGCATGTAATTCCAATTAGTTCTCTTTTAGCTTCAAAATGAGGCCATTTCGGCTACCATACTCTTCAGCAATCTAAGTGATTTTATTGTAATATGGTCGCCTTGTATAATTTATTAGTGGAGCACCTCAAAAGTCTCAATTAGCGATAAACTTCTTTGCATACGTCTCTCGTACTCTGAGCTTAAGTCCATGCCGCTGTTCGTGATCCGAAATACACGAACCGACACGTTTTAAACATATCTCGTAACTTTGTTTAAAAAATCGCAATCAATTATGAGATTAATTGCTACTAGCGGTGTATTTTTTGTCATACATTACAAAAAAATACAGCAAAACGATGCGAGTTACATCTTAATTTTAGCACCCAAATGCTGTTCGTTCAAAAAATTTCTTTCTTAATTTTTTGTTCTATAAATCATTTGCAGCCGTCTTTATAACCTCGTTTTTCCAACATCTCAGCCGCCCAGCTAAATTCGATTCTTAAGGACACTTTACGGGAGCATTCGAATGATAAACACCATCGTTCCGTCGGTTGCTTGACGCGAAGAACGGCAGTTAATCACGGGTTTCAAGGCGGTTACGCGTCTGAACGTGGGGATTATTACTGCGGCTATCTGTACGGTACATACGATTTTGTACACGAGACGATGAATGGAACAGCACGCGGTTTATTGCAATACGTAACGGTCACTTTCGTTGCATGACGCATTTATAGCTCAATACCATAAATGCTGATTCCAGCTGGCAATGGCCGCTTTTAAGAGCTCGACAGAGAACGTTCGAATTTTACTACCATAAACATAATGTAATCTATACAGAATCATTTTACATAGGCATGCGGAATAGTCTGCGGCAATATAGCCACAGTAGAACACTGTGCGTTCGCACAATAGAACCGATAAGATCGCATTAAAATCCGCTAGTCCTGCGGGAACAGGATGATAGTGAAAGTCCTAGCTGTACGGCTAAAGTTCCCGCTTTCTCTAATCCTCTAGAATACCAGGTGAGGACTTACTTTGTTACGTAAGTGTACTGCGCTTCCATGCAGTTAGCAAGCGTGATTCATAATCGTTTCCTAGTCATTACAACTGTGTCCTAGAATAGACGTCCTAGCTGATAAGATGTTTTTTATTTGCTTTTGTGGCATTCTCGTGATCGACAGCGTGATAAAAAGCAGTATTTTGCTTGAACGATATAATCGGTGACCATCAATAACCGCAGATAACTGTGAGTAATAATCAAATTTATGATAAACTGATAGAATGGTTAGATGCAGCTGTCTCAATACAACTGTTTTCAATCACACTTCTTGTTAATAGCAAATATTAGAATATCCTAGAGAAAGTGTTACATTCAACAGACTTTTGAAAAATTACGATGATTACTATTTAATGTATAAATACAATTAATTATTAAATTTGGAGTAATTGCAAAAGTAGCATTTCTTGCAAAATAATATATCGTAAATGATAGATTATTTGAAATAATTTAATAAATGATATTAATTAAATAGATTATTGTAACTATAATTTTCAATTACTTACTATATTTGACGCACTATATTTAAAGTTAGAAAATGCCAAAGAAATTTTATATTGTCGGAAATTGTAATACTAAAAATTTATAATAGATATTCATTCCTATCTTCCACCTTTATCTTATCACATAATAATATCTTTAAATCCAAAAAATGTGTAAAATCTGATAATATAGATCTATTACGGTACAATTAATTTAATCAAGAATATTTTTTTATTTAATATTTATGCTCCATCGCGATAAAAAAATATTTAAAGTTATATTACGAATTTTAACATTATTATACGTTGATAATATTAACAAAATTCTCACATCATATGATAAATTCGAGTAAAAATTTCGAAATTAATTAAAATGATTAATTAAGCAATTCAAATTAATTTTTTGTGAGAAAAGAAAAAAATTAGCATCTCTGTAAGATATTTTCTTGAAGTTGCCACGAATGGCGTACTAATTAGCCTATTTATTGAGACGTAAAAATTCACAGGCGGCAATACTTTGCGAAAGTTTGTATCAGTCACTTGGCAGGAATAATTCCAGTTCTTGATTTCGCGTTGACTTTCGCTAAATTAAGATCGCTATCGTCACGCAGACTCATACTTCGGTCTTAATGTGAGCACTTACAACGATCCGCGAAGTAAATTATAGGTATAGTCATAAACGTTGGTTCTTCCACGGGCGTCCAGGATCAAGGCGCACTCCTCTCCATTTGCATAAGAGTCGAAAGGTTGATGCTGCAGTCCGTTACAGTGTGCTGTTACCAGCAGCAGCAGCAATCCGATTATCGCGGATCGCGTTCGCGTTATTGCGAATCTGCAACAGTTCAGTACAAACGATTACCTTTCTCACATCAAAGAGTATCGTAGCGCGTTTGAATAAAAATTATTCGGTTTGATGTTGTCTTAAATCGCGGATATACAGGTTTGCATAGATTATTACAAATCTGATCGGAGATCCCCTGAGATGGAAAAAGTGATAATACAAAATAATATATTGAAGTATTGTAATAAAAATTTTAACTTATTCTTTAACTTATTCTTTAACTTATTTAAAATATTTTTTTTCATTTCATATAACGCTCTATTATACAAATTATTATAATGATAATGAATATTGATTAACTAACACAAAATTGGCAAAAGAAGTTGTACCTATATATTATATCATTGAATGCAAAATATTAATTGAAACAATTAATCAATCAATCAATGGCTGCGTTTAGTAAAAAAATAACTTTGCAACTGTAAGATTCTATAATATGATTTTTTTTTACCTTTACTGAATCTAAGTATATAAACCAATTATATTAAAGAATATAATAATAAATCTTGTAATACTATTTTTTCTGCGGAACGCAGCCAATGTATTTGGATATATAGCTACAATAATTTCCGCATATTTTCTGTAAAGTAAAAACATTTATGTTGTTCATGAGAAATCTTATATGTACATATATATATGTGGGAATTGTATTTCCCGCTAGCGACAGTCCTCAGTCGGTGTACAGAGCGCCAAGCGTCAATGGCTACGTTTACACCGTGCGTTTAATCCGCGACCTATACGATAGATGTCTTTGTTTAACCTACAGGATAAACAAGGACATCTATTGTATAGGCCACAGCCTAAATGCATGGTGTAAACGTAGCCACTAAGTTCTATAGTTGTCGGGCGATAGCGTAGCGATCGTTGCGATAACGGCAAGAGATTAGATTCGATTCGGTCGAGCATGGCGACAGCACGCGTTAGCGCGTAATATTGTACCTTTCATATTAACATTGTACCGTCATATTAAATTGTGCTAAAGTATCAGCAGCGTTATCTCGTTCGAAATACCTTTCCTACATACATAATTCCGTATTTTCTTTTTTTAATAAAGTAATACTGGACAGTAAAAGTTTAATTTCTTAGAAAAATTAGGAATATGAATAAAAACGAGTATTAAAAATATTTTTAACAAGACTTTTATCATTGTTATTAACATGATTATATTTTTAAATTTTATATTTATAATAGCCTGAATATTATATCATAATTAATACCAAACGAATAATTAGAGCAATCACTTCGATATTCATTGGAAGGATTATTACATATTAGATTTATGTAACTGTACACGCTACACGCGTTCTTATTTCCCGCTCGCGCGTCTCTCGTTGTTTGTGCCACTCAGGCCCTCTATGCAGCACTGCCTATCTAGTTTTATTTTCGAGCATGGCGTTGCCTACACTGTTGCGCGTTCTTTCCTGTTCCGTTACTTCCTTCCTTGCAGCATGTCACCGAGTGCGCATCTTTCTGTATTACTGTTAGCTCACGTTTTATTTTTGTAAGAAGTGAAATATATTCTAAATTAACATTACGTGACACAGTATTTATTCATTTGGTCCTTCGAGCACAAGCAACATCACAACCGTAATCCAAGAATTGGTACGACCCTTCGTCAACGAGAAAATAACGATACACATATCGTAATAGGCACAAGCCTCAACAGTAACTATTTCGGTTCAATTGGCCGGATTGCTTTATAAGCCTGAATATACAGAAAGAACAATTTTACTGAAATATCTAAAAATTTAGATAGATACAAATCTGAAAATTATTTTATTGGACCATCAAAATATTATATATAATAAGATATTCAAGCATGAACAGTGCTGCAAAAAGTTTCGACGTTCTAGTAACCAGCTTGAGCGTTCTACATAATTATTTTGATAATCTAACAATATTTATTTTCAGATCTGTATGAGCTAAATTTTGAGAAACTTCAACAAAATGTTCTTTCCATAAGAAATTTGATAAAGAAAATGTGATTATCAAATATTTGATGTAATTAATTATGTTTTCAAGATGTAGCAGTTGTATAATATATTATCAATATTATGTTCTATTGAAATCTTCTTTTAAAACTTCTACTTTATATATATAACTATTTATATAGAAATATTATACATATATTATAAAATTCAGTGAGAAGTAAAATTCGATAAGTATTACTGTTTTATATATTAATATTTTAATGTAATTTTAAATGTAATTACGTTAAACAAAATAATAAAATAATATAAAATTAGATTTTGTATAAAGAGATTGTTCAGAAATAGGAACAATGTATCGGGAAGGTTTCTATAATTTTGAATTCAGTGAAAAGTTATAAATAACAATGATTCAGCGTAAAAAAAGTTCATTTTTTGGTAAAATTATTCCTTACATCGTAAGGAAGTCACGCAAAATGATAGAGTGAATTCTTCGTGAATATTTTCTTGTTTGATAGCTCGATAGTATCTATTGCATCATACATGCGTTCTTATTTAAGCGTGATGTATTCGGTACATTCTCGAGCGAAGCAGAGAAACTGAGATACAAAAGTTGAAGCTCTTCCGTAATCCATTCTTTTAGCACAAGAAATGCATCGCGGACGTCTCCAGTCCGTCCATGGAAAGTCAGTCTTACATTTTGTATTCCCACACTGCGATATATTTGCATATGTAAACGTGCAATTGACACGCATACAAAATTCTGTGGCAACAAATACATTTTGTGCATGTTGCATTTTTATTAGCAAGTATTGTACGTTACATCTGATTTTTGAGTTTTATAAAAAAGAAAATTTTCTTCCGTTTAATTTTATTATTTAAGGAATTTTTTGTAATATACATTTAAATCTAAATGTTAATCAGATTTATTAATATAAACTTTAAATGTTAATCGGGCTTATTAATTTCGCTTTGCTTAAGACGTATTACATACAAAAATTATATTTTGATGTAATACAAAAATTACGTTAAAAGGACGAAATATATATATATATATATAGAATGTATAGTTGTAGGGCTTCCACCACCTTGAACTTTTTAGTAAAACATATATCAAGATTAATTACTATCGTACATCCATGCTTCATTCACCAAAGCTTGTCATGAAATTACGTTAATTTACGGTACAAATTGGTACGTTGGAAATAGCTGACAGGTATTCGCGCTTGCCTTGTAGTTTATTGCCGCCAATGAAAGTGCCTACCACACAATGATTAGATAAGATACAATCGACATTTAAAGTCATTCGGATTCTCTTCTGTTTTTTTATCTCAAACGTGTCGATTCACGAATACAACGCAACTCGATAAACCGGTCCTCGCAAATTCGATAATCTTAGATCATAATGATTATCCAATTACCTTTAATGGAAATTATTTACATTTCCATGACTTTTCAGTGACTTGCAATTGATATAATTTATTGACATGTGTTCTTCGTTCAATATAATTTACAGAAGAAAGAGAGAGAGAGGGGGGGGAGGGAGATGGAGAAAGAGAGAGGGAGAGGGAAGGGAGAGAGAGAGAGAGACCCTTTTGCACGCTTACTATAATGGTTATATATAAATAGAAACACGTTTTCGTATTCGTCTATATATGTTATCGTATTGCTTTAAAACAAATATACATTAAGGTATTTCAATTTTTGTTCTAGTTGAATAGAGTTAATATTTAAAATTTTAAAGTTTTTATCTATTTATGATGTACATACCGGTATTTTGAGATGTTTTCTAGAAAAAGGAAGAGAAAAAAATTCATACATGTTTCACACAGCCGAGTTCTTGTTTTATAGGGAGAAAAACATTTACTGCGATTAAACTTTTTTCACGGTATTAAATAAATTATCTTATGAAATCAAAAGATTGGAGAAATTGTTTTTCATGATCACTGAATGGATCATGGTTCATTAACTAAGTAGTATGTCAATTTATTGTTGATTGTCTTCTTGCGGAAATGTCAGTCTTTTACCGGATTACGAGTGAATTCAGATTGATATTCCGTGTACGTAATCGCGTGAAATTCAATCCGAGAGCGTGCGAAACAGTGGTCAGGAAGCGTACGAAAAAGTGAAAATTCGTCAAAAAAATCAACCGCAAAATACTGCAAGAAAATTGTTCCTTATTGTTACATAAGACATTTAACTTTTAACGCGTTGATAGAATCTCGTCGAAAGATGTTACAGCTGTTATATATACGCTTAAAAAATTTGAAAAATTTGAAAAATTAAAAGAATTATATATGCAATATATATACATTTTATTACATATATTCCGAATTGTATGCTGTAATTACACAGTAAATGATTTTTATTATACGAGCAAAGACATATTGATTGCAGGTTTCTTTTATAGTGAACGGATTGTAATTAAATTAACTTAACCTATATATCGCTCATTTGTTGTACAACTAAAAAAAGTTTTCCTGAAAATGAGTTTGAATGTTTGGAATTATTAAATTTTGTAATATTAATTTTGAAATACAATTTTGACAGTAGAGAAATAAAAGTATGTACTTTTGAAGTGCGTTTTACCTTTTTTTTAAATTTCCACTTTTTTGTATGTAACTAAAAAAATGACAATTTTTGAGTTATTATTGTAGCAACTAATGAACGATATGTCTTATATAGACTTAATAAAATTATAAACATCATAATTACTGAATTTAATACTATAATTACTTTTGTAAATCATTTTATAAATATTATAATGTTATTATTATTTATATTTATTCTATATATGAAAATATTGAATTGAAAATCGGCCAACTATATTAATTGAAATAAAACTTCATTATCTCAGTATATAATTTTAAAAAAGTGTAACGAATTATAAAAGAATTTAGATTACTGTGAAAACGTTTGATTATATATATATATATATATATATTATATATAGAGTGTCCCATTTTAATGTCCCACCCCAAATAACTTTATTATTTTTAATCTTAGAAAAAAATGTTTCAGACAAAAGATTACCTTCACGTGACCTTCAAACAACTATTCGAGGCCAAACTAATGACACCATCTTATGTTTCCCTCAAAGCCATACAACTTTTGTCTGAAACATTTTTTTCTAAGATCAAAAATAAAATAGTTATTTGGGGTTGGACACCCTGTATATTTAAATTGCACAAGAGTTGAATCTTATATGTATATGTAATATAATACAAAAATGAATATGAAATTTCTGACGATAATAAGCAATGTGTTGGTTACTTAAACAATTCAAATGTTATACAATTGGTTAATTAATAAAGTAGAATTATGCAAAACAGTGTATCGGAAGGTTGTAATGAAACCTTTTATTATATGCTAATCGATTATCATCGTTGTGTCGACTACATTACTGTGTCGCAGCGTCACGGTTAGATTAAATAATTGCTATTAAGTAGGCGGACAATGATCGACTATTTCTCAAGTGCAAACACTTACACTTTATAGATGCGTATCTTATTTGACAATTAAAAATTCGAATGATTTACTACCTCGGTGAAAGGATTCGAAAGCAGGTAAAAGTAACACGATACCTATAGAAGGTCGAGTTTAGATTACAAGACATCTGTGACTATCCGATCTTTATTTTGCGCTTGCTTTAAACTTCAGCTGATCATGCGCTTGTTATTTCGCGTGACGACACGTTTTCTTTAAAGAATAAATCGTATAAATGATGATTGAGACAAAATCTCCCGGATCGGTCGAAATGATTGCTTTCTCGATGCTTCACGCGGGATTCTCCTTTCACCTTTCGCGGACCCCGCGCGATGATAATAGACATGAAGAGTCACGTACATTTTCGCCCTATTTGTATTCTCGATCCATTGAATTCTCATAATTACTCGTAATCATTTTTCCGAGCTTCCGTCTTTCTTAGGAAGCTTCAAACTCTTCTTTCTCACATTCAAGAAGTTCGCGAGAGATTGGAAAATAACTGATAAGCAATGATGGCAATAATTTTTTAATTTATACAGGCGCCAAAATGTCTTAATTTTGGTAAGAGTAAAGCAATCTTGAGATGATTTAATCCTCTGTCTACAATCCGGGATCTTTTTTGGCGAAAATTGTTATAAGCGAAATTTCATTCTCTTTTTCCGAAATAAAGAAGACCGAAATCTAATTATTTTTTTTTTCTAAAATATCTTGTTAAAAAGCTATTTAGTAATGTAACAAAGATGTTAAAAAGTAAATTTTTTCACATTTTTGAAGGTTTATAGAACAGTAAACAAAGGGCTAGGCAAAAAGAATAAAAATATAATTGCAGAGAGTTAAAAAATTTATAACATATATGTCAATACGTGACAGATATGATAGTATTCTTCTAACTTATTTTTATATCACGTAAAACTTGTTGAAGAAAAATTAATTTCTATTAGAAAAAGGATAAAAAATTAATCTTATTTAATACTATTAGCAGGATCAATTTATAGTATGTACGACACTGAAAAGAAAAGATAGAAAGATTCATTAACTTCGACAGTGTAACTTTTGTAATATTCTGACATGTATTTTTGGTCCATTTTGTTTCAAAAAGTAGAAAGTATAGAAGATAGAATATATATATGTGTATAAAAAATGTTTATCATTTTTATTTAATACAGGAAATTAATACATTATGTGCTTATATGAAGCGTTCTTATATAAAAGTATATATTCGATTATTTGCGACACTATAGCTGCGCGCAATAAAACTTTAAGAATAAATTGATCTTCTTCTGTTTCCTGGCAAAAATAAGACCACTATTTATTATTAAAATTTTTAACATAAATCTTTTATTAGCAGTATCAAATGTATATTATACTAAAGAATGTGATAAATTATGAATAGACATATCTTTTTAAATTCTAATTAATTTTGATCGTATCTTATTATTAGCAAGAATCGATGAATTATCAATTTTCTTCCTGCAATTTTCTTCCTGTTGTGAAGTCGCGAAAAATATAAATAAAAGTCTTAGAAGTCTTTGACAATACTTTATGTTGACAACAGCCTTCCTTTTGCGTGTAACACGCGTCGATCGCTTAGAATTCTTTTATAGAATTTCTTGATTTATAATTTCCTCGCACTCACCCGTTGTGCATTTTTCCACCACGCGCTCCACGTTGCTAATGATTTACGATGATCGAGGATCAACGATACAGTTGTCGTCAAGGGTTGTAATTGTCAATTTGCACGATTTTTGGTGCACTCTTTCAACACACGCGACACGCAACGGAGGAGCGAGGATAATCGAATACCGGCAATGTTTCTGTCAGTTAATGTCTTTCCACGTGTCCGAGAAACGGTTGAGGTAATCACCACCGTGCGTACTTATTCCTCCACCGTCTATCGAATGTCTGTATTCGTGCAATCGACCAACCACTTCTCTACTTGCCGGATAAATCCAGCTTGCAGCGGTCGGTTACCACTGGTAGATCCTAGATGGTTGCTTTTAGATCGAGTCGCACTGATCAACTACGTTAATGTAGTACTCGCGATCGTGTCCTGCCTTCCTGCTGCATAGTTCTTTATGAAAGCGCAGAGTGTGCACCGTTCTGGTGGTGGAAAGCTCCCTAAAAGTGCGGAACTGATTCGTGCTGACTCGTGGAAAGGAAACGAGAAGAGGGAGAGGAAGCCGGAGAGGGAGAGTTGAGAGGAGACGAGAGAGGTGGAGGAAAGTTATTTTATCTTACGTTATGTATCCGCCAGGTGAGCGAGAAAGAATCACGAGAAGTTAGCGGTGGACGTGATGAAGAAGAAGGATGCGGAGACGTTGTAGCTCCCGTCCACGTCTTACTTTCCTTTCTCTAAACGAGCCGCACGGCTGCTGCCCTCGATTCGAGACATCGATTGTGTCTCGCCGGTCTCCAAAATACGCGCCACCGAAAGTGCCGTTCGCTGAGTCTCACAATGGACGCTTTCTTTGTTCATTATATCTTTCGATTATATTTTTGAGGAGAACGATACCATGGCAGAATCGTTTCAGCCACGCGACGTCGATCAAAGATCTTGCAAGATCTTTGATCGATAATTGATGGGGTATCATGAACTTGCGAAAGACAGCCTCGTATATTCATCCATTATTTGAAAAAAAATTTGGAAGATTAATATTCTTATGTTTTGGAGTATTCGATACATAGTATAGTTCTCTTCAAGCTCAAACGAATGAATTATAGTCCGTCTATTGCTATCATCATTCACTTCATCTGCATATAAATCAGCTTGCATAACTTCTCGGGCAAAGTAAATCAAAATACTGCAACTTACATGAATGCAAATTGCAGTATTCTTTATAGCACATTTCCTTTAGTATAAATAATAGTAAATAGTAAAAAGTAACAGGGGGAAGATATGGTTAGTAACATTACCTTGATTACATTTGTACTTTTATAACATCAGCCGGTTTCTGGAGATCATAGCCTCAGTCTGCTATCATTTCAAACTTAGATTTAATGTCTGTTCAGCGTCTGTGAAGTTAGCACCCCAACATTGAAATTCCATAGTTTTAATTAGAGTTCCCGTTTCCTTTCATCGAGACAAAGAATTTTCTGTAATTTATAACAAGAGTTCCGCTTAATAACTATTTTTAAATAATTTTTTAAAAATGGGGTGCTAACTTCTCAGTGAAATTCGAGATCAAATAGTTCTGAGCGGCTCAACAGCTTCATTTCGTGAATACCTAGAGTTCCTGATGCAAAAAAAATTTGAAAAATCAAAAAAAAGTTAAAAATTTTTGAAAAATCAATTTTTAGATACAATAGTTCTGATTAGAGTTCCTGTTTCCTTTTAACGAGACGAAGAGTGTTCTGTGTATTTTTTAATGCGAGATTCCATTAATAACAATTTTTTAATAATTTTTAAAAAATGGGGTGCTAACTTTTCAGCGAAATTCGAGATCGAAGAGTTCTGAGCAGCCTAATAGCTTTATATTGTGAATATCTAGAATTCCTGACACATAAAAAACAACTTTGACAAACAAAAAAATTTATAAAAAAAAAGAATTTTTTATCACTTCTTGAATTTCGCGTATCTTGAAAACCGTTGGTCCAATCGCTTTGTCACCTCATACTTTTCGATAGAACTTGTTGAGGACTATCCAAAACGATAATCACAGAATTACTGGTACTTTCAAAAAATTTTTCGGCGTCGAACTCAGAAAATTTTCACCTACCTATTAAATATCTCATATCTCGCAAACCGTTGATCCAATCGCTTTGTCACCTCATACTTTTCGACAGAACTCGTGGAGAACTGCCCAAAACGATAATCAGAACTACTGAAGCTCTTAAAAAATTTTTTGAGAGTGCCAGTAGTTCTGATTGTCGTTTTGGGCAGTTCTCCACGAGTTCTATCGAAAAGTGTCAGGTGATAAAGCGATTGGACCAACGGTTTTCAAGATACGCGACATTTGAAGTCTATCGTTGAAAATTTTCCAAGTCTGAAGCCGAAAAATTTATTGAGAGTGCCGGTAGTTCGGATTATCGTTTTGAGCATTTCTCGACGATTTCAATCGAAATGTATCAGGTAACAAAGTGATTGGACCAACAATTTTCAAAATAAGGTACCTGAGCCGAATAAGGCCCAGGCACTAAATAAGGACCACTTTTAAATTTATTACTTTAAAACTCGCTTTACGCCTGCACTATATGCTTAAAAGATGTGTCATAGAAAGTAGATAAAAAAGGATTAAA